TGACTTGGATACTAAGAAGGAACCTTATTTGACCAAATCGTCACCAAGCTACCAAAGTCCAAATAGTGCTCATAACCAATCTCCCTGTGAAATTCGTCCCAGAGATCATTCTTCTCCATCTCAGCTTCGCTTGTGGCGACGACATCGTAGACGACATAATCGAAAACAACCAAGTTCATTGGCGCACGATCGTCACGAAGTTTTGACCGAACTTAAACGCCTAATGAACACAGCCGAAGCCGTAAGTCGTATGATATTGGCCGGGCGGCATAGGTTACGTCGAGTTGCCCCTTTGACACGACCGCCGGCCCAGTCAGCGGCCTCTCCCGAAGATGAAGAAGAGGAGGAGGACGAGACGAGAACTGAGGTTACTCCAAGCCTGAGAATGCGAATAAGTGATTCGACTCAATCACGTCTAATGCTTGAGCCCAGCCTTTTGGATCCCAGGCAGTTGCCGAATCCTGTAGTCTCAGGAGAGTTAGTAAAAGAGTTTATGTTGCCACAGCAACAAAAGAAAAAACAACAATATTTACAGCATTCACTCCCTGCACAGATGCCACTCATATCTGTGGCTGATGGATCTGAAGTTTCTCCATCTACGTCCACACCCTCTCCTCCTTCGCTTCCTCAACAACAGTCCGCGTCGATGCTTGGATTGAGGACTGCGACAACGCCTACGAATGCGTCTTATGAGCAGATCAACTGTGAGCCTTTTTTTTCTAAGAGAGAAACTTTATGGTTGCATTTTCTTGCTTCAATAAATATAATTGGACATAGCCATTTTGCGTAGATTACCTTGGATAGTAACAAGTTAATTTAAGATATATTGATACACACTTTTTGCCTCACATAATTTCTTCTGAATCGTATGTTTACGTAAAATTAAGGTCTCAACCCATACCTTCTCTTTTAGATGTCAGAATTTGCATGCGTATATTTACTTATATCTTCTGGATGTCTTTATTTTCTGCTTTTGCCTTATGAAAGTTACCTAAAGTTAATTGGTAATGTTAATACGGCCGCAACCAGAATTCTGAAAACTAATTTTAAGACATTTTCTGTATCCTATTACCGTATTTTCCGGCGTATAAGACGACTCTTCATACCATAAATTTCTGCTCCTAAGTGGGGGGTCGTCTTATACGTCCAGTGTAGTTTAGGGATAGCTAATTATACTATGGTTCCGAGCTCCTGTTGTGCCCCTTACCTCCTTACAAAATTTACATTTTAACTAGAAAAGTCAGGGGGTCGTCTTATACGCCGGAAAATACGGTAGCTGTTTAATTTAGGCTACTTATATCATGTGTGCTGACTGATTTTCACTGCCATATGCAATTTTTTCAATAGAGAGTATCATTGATCGAATGGCGAATTTATGTGGTTGACCTGCTTTTGCCGGTCTGCTGGCCCAGATAAATGGCTTTGATCTGAGGGTTCTTAAGGATTGACTTGCTATGCTTTTAACGTGGAGGGACCTAAGTTTCTTGGCCTATGCAGAATTTACATGAGATCGTCTAATCGGTTATTCCTGCGCCCAAAATTGAGGCTATTCTTACTGGACTATCCAGTCTCTTCAACACTATCTATTTGCTACACTTCAACCTTTTAGCAATTGGTCAAAGGATTGACTTCACTCGTCACTTTGACTAGTTGTAGTGTTGTTTAATGACTGACAAGGCTCACTGATGCCGGTGAAACGTCTGGGAATGTACCAAGTACGTGTTCCGACTGGAAATTATCATATGAATTCCGAGCAAGGTTGTCTTGACAATAAGACCAATTTGCGAAAACAAGGTCAAACAACGTCTGCACTGAAAGGAGACTATGACCATGCTAAAGGCCACATCATCTTGGTTTTAATAACTTAGATTATGCTATAGTGGTTTACCTAGTTTTCACCATTTGGTCGGAGCATCAGGGATACTTTTTTAACGTACCTAGTCATGCCTTATCTGCCATAATATTAGTTATTTCCAGCATCGAATCATTTACTTGGTACATTCCCAGGCGTTTCGTCTGCATCTGAGAGGCGCCAT